TGACATTGTACATCTTCAAAATTAATTTGGCTATCTGGGTTTGCTTTTCTGTATAAATTTTAGAATCAGCTTATCAATTTCTACAACAAAGCTTACTGGGAACATGCTTAGAATTGCCATCAATCCATAGATCTATTGTGGGAGCATTTACATCATAGCAATATTGAGTCTTCTCATATATGATCATGTTCTATTTTTCCATGTATTTAAATCTTCTTTAATTTCTCTCAGTGATAGTTTGTAGTTTTAATTGAGAATAGTTTGTTAAATTTATCACTATGTGCTACTCACAGTAAGAATACAGAAACATAATTACCAGTCTATAATACCATTGGTATATTTTACCCTGTGCCCTATATACTGAGATCTTGCTAAATGCATTTACTTTTTCTAGTAATCTTTTTGTAGATTCCTTAGGATTATCTTCAGAGATGTTCTGTGTCATCTGTGAATAATAGGGAGACATTGACTTCTACCTTCACATTCTGCTCATGTTTTGTTTCCTTTTACGGCCCTGTTGTGGTGACTTGGGCCTTCAGTCCCTGTGGAATGGGAGTGGTGAGAGTGGACGTCCCTGTCCTGCTCCTGAACTCATGGAGAGCACACCCGGTCTTCTGCCATGAAGTAGGGTGTCAGCGGTTGCCTTTTCTTAGTTGTCCCTTTATCAGAACACGTATATAGTCTGAGTCCTTATTATGAATGGCTGTTGCATTTTGTCAAATGCTTTCTGCATCTGTGCTTTTTTTATTCTTCCATTTTTAGCTTACAATTATGGTGGAGTACACCGATTGATTTTCAAATGCACCTTGCACCCTGAATTCCTTTTGATCATGATGTATTGTACTCTTTTTTAAAATATTGCTAGATTCAATTTGCTAAAAAATGTTTTAAGGCTGTTTGTGTTTATGGGAAAGATATTGGTCTGTAGTTTTCTTTATTTGTAATGTCATTTGGAAAGTTTTTTCTCCTCTTTTATTTTATAAAAGAGTTTTAGTATAGTTCTTAAATGTTTGGAAGACTTGAACTCTGACACCATCTGAAGTTTGTGTTCTCTTTATGGAAGGTTTAGAGGTACAGATATAATTTCTTTTATATATAATGCTACTCATATTATCTATTTCTTCTTAATTGAGCTTTAATAGGTTAGTCATGTAAGAGTTTTGACTACTTTATATAAGCTTTTATTTTAAAAGATATTTATAATATTCCTTTATCCTTTTAATGAATATAGGTTATGAAGTGACTACTTCTCTTTCATTCCTAATATTGGCAATTTGGGCAATTTTTTTCTTCTCTCTTTGTCCTGAACAGTCTGAGCAGAGTTTTTCCACTTTTTTTTTTTCTTTTTTGCTTTGTTTAAAAAAACCAGCTTTTGGTTTTACTGATGTTGTCTATTGTTTTTCTCTCTTTTTTTTTTTTTTTAACTTTTGGTGACTCTGATTCTTAGTCTTGTTCTTTCTTTCTTTCTCCTTATTTTGGATTTATTTTTCTCCTTTTCTTCTAGTTTCTTAAGGTAGAATTAATGATCTGATTCTGGGCACGGTGGCTCATGCCTGTAATCCTAGCACTCTGTGAGGCCAAGGTGGGAGGGTCACTTGATGTCAGGAGCTCGAGACCAGCCTGAGCAAGAGAGTCTGTGTCTACTAAAAATAGAAAAATTAGCCGGGCGTGTGGCAAATGTCTGTAGTCCCAGCTACTCGGGAGGCTGAGGCAAGAGGATCCCTTGAGCCCAAGAATTGGAGGACACCACTGCACTGTAGTCTAGGCGACAGAGTGAAACTATGTCTCAAAAAAGAAAAAAAAAAATCTGAGATCTTTTATTCTTTCTAATATAAGCATTTAATGCCATAAATTTACTTCTAATCACTGTTCTATCTGCATTCTATAAATTTGTATATATTATGATTTAATTCTCTTCAAAATATTTTTTTTTTTAGTTTAATGTATGATTTCTTTTTTGACTCCTGCATTACATAGGAATGTGTTATTTGATTTTCAAATATCTGGGGACTTCCCAGGAATCTTTTTATTATTGGTTTTTAGTTTAATTCTGCTATAGTCAAATAATGTGATCTTTATGATTTGTATCTTCTTAAACAGAGGTCAGCAACCTTTTTTTGTAAAGAGCCAGATGGTAAAAAGTGTAGGCTTTGTGGCCCATATGTGTTCTCTGTAGCTACTGCTCAGCTCTCTCTGCCTTTGTGGTGAAAAAGCAGCCATAGATAATATGTAAACAATGAGCATGCCCGTGTTCTAGCAACCTTTATTGACACACACAGGCAGTGGGCTACGTTCGGCATTGGGCTGTAGCTTGCTGATTCCTGCTGTACTTGCTATACATCACTTAATATAGTTTCTTTTCATAAATGCTCTGATTCTGCTAAAAACATACTTATTTCACTGTCATTGGTTGGAGTATTCTGTGTCAAAGAAGTCACCTTAGGTAGAATATAGTTCAAGTATTTTATATCTTTACTGTTTGTTTTTTTTTTTCTATTTCTTTGTTCTAGCAAGTCATGAGGAGAGTGTGAAAATCTCCAGTGATAATTGTGAGTGTGTCTTTTCTACTTTTTCTGTTTGTTTGTTTTTTTTTTTTGGTTGTACTAGAATTTGCTTCATATATTTTAAGTATTTTATTAGGTACATACACATTTATGATTGTATCTTCTTAATGAATTAACTCCTTTATCATGAAATTTCCCCTTTCTTCCTGGTGATATTCTTTGTTCTGAAGTCTGCTTCCTCTGATGTTGTTATAGCCATTCTAGCTTTCTTTTCATTAGTCTTTTTATGTTTATTTTTCCTTTCCTTTTTTTTTTTTTTAAGTCAGAATCTCATTCTGTGGCCCAGGCTTGAGTACAGTGATGTGATTGTGGCTCATTGCAGCCTTGAGCTCCTGAGCTCAAGTGATCCTCCCACCTCAGTGAGTAGCTAGGACTATAAGCACACAACTGGCTATTTTTCTTTTTTTAAGAAACAAGGTCTTGCTATGTTGCCCAGGCTGGTCTCAAACTCCTGGCCTAAGACTCTCCTGCCTCAGCCTCCCAAACCTCTGGAATTATAGGTATGAGCCACTATACCTGGCCTCTTCCTCTTACTTTTGATATAGCTGTGAGTTAAACTGTCTTTCTTATATCCAGCATATAATTAGTTTTACTCTGTAAAACCAAGCTAATAATCTTTCACTTTATTTATTTATTTATTTTTTGGTGTTCAGTCATTTGTATTTAATGTAATTAATGATTAATTTAAGTGTAGCATTTTTCTATTCCTTTTCTCTTTGTCCTATCTATTCTTTACTCCTTTTTCTTCTTTTCCTGCCTTCTCTTTGATTACTTGAGTATTTTTTATGGATCCATTTTATCCCTGCTATTATTAACAATAAATATTTAATTTAGTGCGTTCTCTAGGATTTCCTACATATGATTTTAATTTTACCTTCATATAACATCTTACTACCTCACGTGCAGCATCAGACACATAATTGCATGCTTCATTGTCCCCCTTCCATCTTTTGTGCTACTCTCGTTAGACATTTTACTTTTACATGCGGTAGTTCTAAAACACGCCCTCAAATTCTTTGAAATCCTCCCCTCAAAAGATGGAGTGTAATTTACCTCCCCTTTAGTGTGGTGTGGACTTAGTGTCTTTCCTCTAGCGTTTAGAATACGGCAGAGATGATGGTGTGTGACTTCTGAGACTAGGTCATCGGAGGCCTTGCAGCTGCTGCGCTGTTTTCTCTCTTGGGTTGCTCTCTCTGGGGGAGGCTGGCTGCCATGTCATAAGGACACTCAAGCAGCCCTTGTGGGGAGGCCCAGGGAGGAAGGAGCTGAGGCCTCCTGCCAACAGCCGTGTGGAGGGCCACCTGGGAAGCAGATCCCCAGCCCTCGCCAAGCCTTCAGGTGATGGCGTCCTTCAGTGACACCGTGACTACAACCTCATAAAACACCCTGAGCCGGAACCATTCAACTAAGCCACTTTTAAGCCCCTGACACTCAATAACTGAGATAATAAATGTTTGTCATTTTAAGACACTAAGTGATTTGTGTAATTTGTTCTGCATAAATAAATAACCAGTGCAAACTGACTTTCATTGTTATTACTTTTGTGTAAGCAATCAGTCATCTTTTAATGAGATTTTATGATATATTTTATTTAACCACATATTTTCTATTTCTAATTTTCTTTTTCTTTTTTGTACATAAACTTTTTTGTCTAGTATCATTTTTATTTTGCTCAAAGAAATTTCTTTGTAGCAAAAATCTGGTGGGGGCCGGGCGCGGTGGCTCACGCCTGTAATCCTAGCACTTTGGGAGGCCGAGGCGGGCGGATCGCTCAAGGTCAGGAGTTCGAAACCAGCCTGAGCAAGACCCCGTCTCTACCAAAAACAGAAAGAAACTAATTGACCAACTAAAAAAAATATATATATAAAAAAAAAAAAAAAATCTGGTGGCAATGAATTCTCTCAATGTTTTATACTCTTAAAAAAGTACTTAGCTTTTATTTTAAAAAACCCTTTTCATTTGGAATAAATTTTAGACTCACATAGAAGTTGCAAATTTAATACAGAGGTTTCTATGTATCATTTATCCAGTTTCCGTCATGACAGCCTCTTATGTCGATGCTCAAGATGGAGGGCGTCGGGACGCGGCCGCTTGCCGCCTCCCCGTAGCTCTGCATCTCCATGGGCCAGCGCTGCCTGTGGCCAGTTGGAGGGCACGCTGCTGGGGCCGGCCCTGCGGCAGAGAGCTGGACCCCGCATGCCGGAATGCCCCCAGGCCCAAGTGCCGCTGCCTATTTCCAGCCACGCTGTTTGCATGATCCTGATTGGGTAATTTTTGAATCCCACTGTTTTTGATTGAATGTTAAAGCTTGTTGGTGATTGGATATTAAAGCTTGTTGTTGATTGCACGTTAAAGCTTGTAGTTGACTGGATGCTTTTTGAGCCCTACCAGGGATATAAAAGCAGGAGGAGAATGAGCAGAAGGGCAGGAAGGGTCAGAAGATCGGAAGACACGAAGAGAGCTGTAACACTAGGTGTGCTGAGCCTGCTGTGGAAGAATAGACTGTTCTCCGATTCTTTGTGTTCTGCTCGGTTCTTTCCCCAACCAAGAGCTGTAACACTAGCTGTGCACACTGCCGCAACATTTTGGTTCCCTGACCGGGAAAGCTGACTGAGCTGGCCCCTTGGAGCCACCGGAATGGCGGACGGAGCAGACAGCCAACGGCGTGGGCGGAGTTGGCCCCTTGAAGCCACCTGATCGGCGAAGGGTGCAGAGGGAGAACGTCACAAACGGTGCAGAAAGAGGGCTGAGATACATGGTATGGATGGTGAGTGGACTGCACCTGGACGGTGGACGCCACTGAGCAGCATCTCTCTCCTTCAGCGCCAAGAGCTGTGATACTAGGTGTGCTGAGCCTGCTGTACAAGAATAAAGGCTGTTCTCTGACTCTTCATGTGCTGCTTGGTTGTTTCCCAGGTCAAACGAATAAGAGCTGTAACGCTAGCTGTACGCATTGCTGCAACAATATAACCATCGCACATTTATCAAAACCAGAAAACTGACATCACAACAAAAGATTTTATTTGCATTTCACTAGTTTTCACATGCACCCACTTTGTAAGGGCATATCATTCCATGAAATTTTTTCACATTTATAGACTAGTGAAAGCACCAACACAATGGAGGCTTTCGTCAGTTTCCTCCCGTGCTGTGATCCAGAAACTGCTTTTATCTTTACAAGACCCCCTATTTACAAGCATATTACCCCTATGGTCTGCTGGTAGCTCTTGATTTCTTGTGGCAATATATTTCCCCAAATTAGAATTGGCCGTCAGTACCTTTCCTAGTCATCTCTCATTTTCTCTTCTATTTTCCTGCTTTCAGCTGACTCTCTTTTAATTCTACTTTTTCATCTATAGGTGGTTTTTGCAAACTCTTATCTTCAGAAATGTCAGTTTTAACATAATCTCAGGCTTGGTTCCTTTGTTACCTACATTTTCTCCATCTAATACCATTGTGTCACCAGGCATTTACAGAAATCCAATTCTTAGAGAATGTCAAAATTGATGAGATTAAATGTTAAGAATGACAGTCATTTGATTTTGTAGCTGACAGAAGTATTAAAGGTTATTAATTATACAAAAAATGTGTCCTGAGAGTCTATGGCAAAGCAGACTCCCCACTGTAGCGGGATTTTCGGGCTTGAGGAAGGGTCATAGAGGGAAAAAGAGGAGGGAATTCAAAGTTCCAGGTGGTGCTCTTCCAACTGAAGGACAGAGCAGTGCAGCAGCTTCTCAAGTCTATTACTTGTGCCCGAGAAAGTTAAGGGAGCAGTTAAAATGTTTCCAGCATGTGAACTTGCACTTCCAGCCAGGAAGGGTAACAGCTACCATGGTTCCCTCAAGTTCGGCTACAGTTGCTGATAAGCAGAATGAACAAAATAACAGAAATGGAAGGATATATATTTACTGTTTTAAAGTCTGTATCTGTGTGGTTCTGAGAAACACATCTTCCCTTCCTGTTTATTTGCCTGTCTTTTGAGAATAATGACTCAGCATTTATGCTATAGGATTATTGTGATAATGAATACAGAAAAGCTTTGAAAAAATATTTTGAAAAAAATGTTTCTTATGTAATGAAAGAAGGTCATTATAAATATCAGCTATGATCATGTGACCAAAATGTCTTCACAGAAACTCCTAGATTAGTGTTTTGCTGGATAACGGGGGACTTGAAATGAAGCTAAGTTGACAATCAATAGACCATCCCTGTCCATCCCTTATGAACTCAACACCATACACACTCCTCAAACTACATAATTTTTAACTAAAGTCAGTAACAAAGTCACATTTCTACCCAACATGATACAACTATCCTGCATATAGCCAAAATAAGCTAACCTTTTCCCAGAAGAGGATACGGAGTATTTGGGTGAATTGCATTCTAACAGTGCAATCTAAGCACTCAGACCCCTTCTCTATGGTAGACGCCGCAGTTCAGACATTTCAACTTCTTTACTGTGGGCCATCTTTGGGTCCAAGTGTTAACCAACCAACCGACCGACCGACCAAACAAACAAAATGTTAGAGCTCTTTCTGACCCCTTCAGCTACAACATTAAGTTGAGAATCACTGCTTACTACATGTGTATCAATACATTTCACTGGCTCCAACTTTAGGTTCCTTCATTATCCCACACCCTTAATATCCATTCTCACACATACTCCTTGGATTTCTGCTTGTATAAATTGGAAAAAATCATTTAGTTCTTTTGGAGAGTAGCATACCTCCTCACAGGCCATACTTTATACCTCACCTTCTGGGGCTTGGACTTGAGTCTAGTTATGGATACAGAAGTAAAGAGTGTGGCAGGGGTTCTGGGGACAATCAGCAGTGACTTGCGAGTCAGCCACCTCCAGGGAGGACGTTCCGGTTTCAGGCGTGAGGGCTGCCACCTCAGACAGGGTGGAGGGTCTTCCTCTACTGGCAAAGACGGCTCAGCAGAATTTAGGGGCTCAATGTTCCCAGCTTTGTCAGGATCCACCTTCATGGCATCTTTCCAATTTTTAGGGTTCTGTTTTTTCCCCAAATAACGCCCTCACTTTAACAGACTTCTGTGAGGTTGGGAATTCCATGAATATTATAATCCAGCCATTCACAGGATGAGAGTTTGAGCGTGGTTTTCAGAACTCTTGGCCCTGTGAGTGTAGGAGATAAGGGTTTCTTTGAGAAAAGACACAGATTTTAGGTTTTCTATGCCCCTCTGTGTGTGTGTGTGTGTGTGTGTGTGTGTGTGTGTGTGTGTGTGTGTGTGTGTGTTTCATCTTTGGGAACGGTACAGGGCTGACACTGCTGGCACTGTGGGGTTCTTAGGGTCTTTGGACAGTGTTCAAAAACTTTGGGATGGAGGAAATGCAGGATGATGGGTGAGCCAGGCAGGATCCATTAAGCTCTGGAGCTGCAGAGCAGTAAAGTGTGCGATTGGCACAAGACAACAAGGAATGTAATCAGCCAGGGGCATAATGAACAAAGGGCTCAGTGCCCACTCAGCATTTCCCCAAATTAAAATACCCAAATATACCCGATACAGTAAACCAACACAATCTCAAATTTTCTAGGGTTGCCTTCTGTTGTTGTCTCTTTCACTTGACTGGCCTGGGGATAGGGCTGTGCTGAGGAAAGGTGAGGCTTTTGAAAGCTTGTGGACGCTTGTGAGGATCTGTCCCCAAATCTCTAATTTTTATAATTTCCATTCTAATCTTACCTCCTCTTTGAACCTTCTTTTATAACTCATCCTCATTTTTCTCCTCCTCTAAATTATTAGGTAAGCAGGATGCAGACCACTATTTTGTTACTGCTAGTTTTGTCATCTGGTTTGCAGCCACAGTAGGCAGTTTTGAACATACACTCTGTTCCTAAAAAATATTTTTGACAGGCTAATCATAAAAACAGGGGAGGATAGAAGTGGCTTTTTTTCTTTAGTAGTAAATTAACAAATGGAATTGATGACCCATTACCTGATTATCATTTATCGTGCTGATGAGGGCCATTTGGGAAATCTCTTCTTAGTGATGAAGGCATTGACTTAGAATTGGAATCATGGAAGCTCAAGGTCTGGATGTGCCTGTGAGTGTTCCTCTTTGTTCTGGGAACACAATAGAATAACTTAACATGAAAACCCTTCACCACCTAGAAATACCCATTATAATGTATCATGTATTTTCTAAAATATCCATAGTTAAACTTTTAATAAAGAGAAATACCTATCTGACAAGAACAAAGAAAGAACTGAGACTCAGAAAATACACCAATCAGCTCTGTTTCTGGCTTATGATTGGAGGTGGGTTGGATCCATCCAAGATTCCAGGGGCCTGGGGTTCAGTGACCACACAGGGTAGAGATGAGGTCTTGGGGACCATGTGCCTCAGGAGGTTGGGACCCCAGAGAGCAGAAGGACCGCCCCCTCAGTGAAAGGTACACCCAAGAAACAAATCTGCCCTCTGACATTGGAAGATGAAGAAGTAGTGAAGGTCCACTCACATGGTCCAGGAACAATCAGGCAAGAAATTAACAGAAAATAAAATGGTCCTGGCTTGAGGTACCCATGTTGCACCTGGCAGGAGTAATTCCAAAATTGCTTTGGAGGGACCCTGCATAATACTTAGGTCCTCAGAGGGAAAAACCTGCTCAAATGAATCTCGTAACTCAAAATGACACAGCACAAGCCAAAAATTTCATTGTAACGGAGAATCAGCAGATACATGGAGGATCAGACTGGAGGATCAGAGCTTTCAGAGCCAGAGGTGAGAAACCAACAAATTCAGGGTGTCGAAAATGAAGATAATCACAAAATTAGATATTCTATCCCAATAGAAGTAACTATTATTATGAAAAATACAACAAAGTAGAATTACATATAAAAAACATTTTTCACTGAAATTAAGAATCTCAATGTATGTGTTAAACTCCAGAGATGTGTGTGTGTGTGTGTGTGTGTGTGTGTGTGTGTGTGTGTGTGTCTTGGTGAGCTGATGAATCAGAAGACAGATTTAAGGCAATTACTCAGAATGCATCATGAAGAGGTGGATAGAAATTATAAAATGTCAAGAAGCATGGAGAATAAAATGAGATTGTTCACAATACTTCTGAGTTTCAGAGGGAAAAATAGAAAGATTGGTGGACAAGCCACCAACCTTTGAAAATGTAAAAGTTGAGAATTTTCCAGAATTGGTGAAAGATCCAAATCCTCAAATTGAAGAACAAGTCCAGCATAGAATAAATAAATATGAATCCCTCAAACAGAAACATGGTAGCCAAGCTACAAAATGAATACCAAAATGAAAGATAAAATCTTAAAAGTAATCAGAAAGATATAATTTAAAGAAATTATGTTCAGAAGAAGAAAGTTACATGATTCAAGGAGCAATGTTCATTAAAGAAATTGTAAAAATGATTATAAATCTAAGGTATTTTAGGTTTAGAGATATATATATATGTACTTGCAGCCATCTGGAACTTATTTCAACCTGTACATGGGGGACAATGTCTTAGTTATTCTTACCTCTCTCAGAACCATTGAAAATTCCAATAACAATCCATATTTTCACAATTACTTGATGGTGGGATTAGAAATTAGTACAAACATTTTGGAGGGTAATATAGCATATATGGTGGAGAAGATCTGTAAAGCAATGACCCAGAAATACTCCTGCTAGGAATGTACTCTGAGACAGTCATATTTGTGATCAGGAGGTTGTGTCCAAGAGTGTGTATTTTTAGCAGTGGTCCCACATTGGAATTCACCTTACCATTTCAGCCACAGAAGGATACATAAGGAAACACAGTGTTTCACACAATAGAACACTATACAACAGTAAAATATATGAACCAGAGCAGACATACAGGGTGGATAACTCTCTCAAGGAAATAACTGTCACACAAAAATATATACAGTAAATACGAATTATATATGATGTTTAAAAAACATGTCAGAGAGTGTTCTGTCTGAAGAAATGGCATAAATAATCCCAAATCAGGGTAGTGGGTTTAACGTATTATGTATTGATGTGTTGGTCACATGTTTTGTTAATTCAGAAATATGTAACTGAAAGTTGCATTGTTATATTTTATCAATTGGATAGCCCTAGAATTATGGATACTTTTCTGATACAATGTGTTTTTATATGTTTACAGGTTTTAATATTACTTTTAAGAAAATACATGGGCCTGCAACCTTGCAATGTTTCTAAAGGTCTATTGCTCTGGTACTTGTTGGGATCAACTAAAAAAGTTAAGGATGAGGAATTACCATAATTTCTGCTCCATTTCTCCATAACTAAAAAAGGCAGTATTTGTGAACTGGTAACGTGGTCGTCAAAGTACTTTGATAGGTAACTGGAAAAGCTGTTAGCTTTGAGCAGAGCCCAGAGTAGGGCAAAGTCACTCAATTAGTCCTGGCTGCAGTGCGAAACATTCCCTCTTCAGCCACTGTGGCGGCAGTTCCAATGGCTTTTAAAGAGTCTAAGACATAGCGGGATGCTGTGAGAAGCCGTGGCAAGACCCTACGGGATATGGAACAAATTATGCCTTCTTTGGGAAATGACAGTGTCCTTTGGAGAAACAGCTTCTGGCTTGCCACTAAGCTGATCATAGACACTAGGTGATCTGACTGCTCTCTGAAAACCTAGTGAAACCTGAGCTATCTGTGACGCGGAAAACGTCCGGCGCAGGGACCCGGCTGCTTGCCGCCTCTCCATAGCTCCGCCTCCCTGAGGGTGGGCGCTGCGCGGGGTGGTTGGAGGGCACACTGCTGGGGAGCAGTGGGGCCCGCGTGCTGGAATGCCATCGGGCCCACATCCCCTACCTGCTTCCGGCCCTGGCGCTGACACCCGCCGTCCAGGCCTGGGCTCTGGGTGCTCGCTGCCTGCACCTGTCATCTGGAGGCACTGCTCTCATGATCCTGATTGGGTAATTTTTGAGTCCCACTGTTGCTGATTGGATGTTAAAGCCTGTTGCTGATTGGATGTTAAAGCTTGTAGTTGATTGGATACTTTCTGAGTCCTACCAAGGGTATATAAGCAGGATGAGAACCAGGAAGGGGGGCCAGAAGATGAGATGAGAAGGAAGTTGTTGTAACACTTGCCGTGCTGAGCCTGCTGGAGGAATAAAGGCTGTTCTCCGACTCTGTGCCGCTTGGTTCTTTCCTCAGTCAAGAGCTGTAACACTAGCTGTACACGTTGCGGTAACATCTAGACACAAGCCTGAGCTTGCCCAGATGCTCCTCTCTCTGCTCAAGCAGAAATGGTTTATGTGGCACCCTTGGGAGCAGTATCCAAAGGTGCCAGCAGTTTGCAAGAATACTTCTCTCATAAGCCAAGTGCCTTGTCCTGATGAACCACTACTCCTCTTTACCTTGTAAGAAATCACTCATCGACATTGACTAAAAAAGATAAAATGAAACCCAGTTTTTTTTTTTGTTTTTTTTTTTGAGACAGAGTCTCGCTTTGTTGCCCAGGCTAGAGTGAGTGCCGTGGCGTCAGCCTAGCTCACAGCAACCTCAAACTCCTGGGCTCGAGCGATCCTTCTGCCTCAGCCTCCCGGGTAGCTGGGACTACAGGCATGCGCCACCATGCCCGGCTAATTTTTTATATATATATTAGTTGGCCAATTAATTTCTTTCTATTTATAGTAGAGACGGGGTCTTGCTCTTGCTCAGGCTGGTTTTGAACTCCTGACCTTGAGCAATCCGCCCGCCTCGGCCTCCCAAGAGCTAGGATTACAGGCGTGAGCCACAGTGCCCGGCCTGAAACCCAGTTTTGAGATGGCTGTGTGCAACATGCTTGTGTCAGTCAGACACTGGCTGCTTTGGCACTGCAAACCTGCAAAGAACAGAGGAGAAGGCAAATGTGGCCTCTTATGTTTCTTTCATCTTTCACAGGCATACTACCTTACACCTGTCATCAAATTCCAAACTTTTGATTTTTGTCAAGAATTGTCCTTTATAGCAGAAGAGGTACGGCAATGAGCAGACGCTCATGGGATTCCCTGATCTTATCAAATAGCTCATCATCCAGAAATTGTTGACCTTATAGTAATAAAATGACTAATAAAGATTTAGGTTTGATGCCAAGGAGATACTACCTTATAGTTTGAGGTGCTGCCCTACAGAATGTCACATAAACTCAGATACAGTTAAATAGTGAATAATCCATAGTGATTTTTCTATCGTAGCCAGAATATTAATATATTAGTCTAGGAGCCAAATGGTGAATGTTAAGGATGGGTCCTAACACAGTTACATCTGAAGACCCATGTGCAACTAGTTTTTATTTCCTTCTCCACTAACTATGGACTTTGCTGAACTAGAGGTTTTAGAATCTAAGAGAAAAATGTTTCAAAAAAAGATAACGCAATAGATTACTTTTTTAATTTGGAGGTTGACATAGATACCTGGCAATGTCTCTGGGCAAACAAGGAACAGGGAGGTGGCGTGTGTTGGTTGGGTGGTTGACTGTGATTACGAAGGGAAAAGGGCATGCCATAAACAGTGAAGGTGGGAAGGAGTAGGGATGAAATCCACTCTTTTGGGAAATGACCCTAAATCCCCATGAGCAATGGAAATGACACTGAAGACTCTAAGTCTGTAGAATTTGAATGAAAGTCACTGGTACTTTCTCTTTAATTCTCCCCCAGGCGCAGAATTTCTTGCCACTTATTATCCTGAGAATCAGGGGCATGTGCACAGACCTGAAGTGGGGAGGATAGCAAAGCCCTCTTAATTCCTGCTGAGATCACTGGCAGACTCAAGATGTTGTGAGAAGAGCTCAGCATCCACAGCAGGGATGCACCCCAAGGCTGTTCCAAGTGGCCTGTTTCAAAACAGGTCTAAGTCCCATATATGAATGAATCTAGGAGGTAGATCCTCTCGAGTGTGGTGCTGAGCTTCACGATTCTTCTATCTCTCTCCTGCCTCCTGGTGAAAAACTGAAGCAAGGATGAAGACATATGAATTGGCCAGTTGACTAGTGTCATGGTTACTTACGTTTATGGTATTATAACAGCTTTATAAGTTTTCTGAATTTTTGGCCAGTCATGCCATGTCGTATACCAAGACCTCATTTGTATTTCAACAAAATGATCTGCAGACTCCCTTTTCCCTCCGAGGTGGGTTTGTTTTGGTCAGTCACGGGGAACATGGTAAGCAGAATGAACAGCTCACTTTGGCATTTGTTGGGGCTGAGGCAGTCTGACAGTTGACCTTTCAGATCTTTCCGGAGGACTCACAAGGTGCTGGGAACTATGTTGAGTGCCAAGAATGGGGATATCAGCTCCCTCTTGGGCTCTGCCAGTAAGGAGCACACTGCAGTAGAAAGCTAAATTTTAGATGTGCCTTCTAAGCAGCGCTTTTTCACATGCCATGAGATACTCTGGTACCTCAAAGATACTTTTCTCCTGAGTTGCAGCTTTCCTTTCATGCCTACGCCGAGAGTGTGGAAATACATATTGACGCAGTCAGGGAAACAGTGGTAAAATGGGATGTGGGCCTTAGAATCAGAGAGACTCATATTCAGAGGAAGCTCTTTAATTTGCTGGCCATGAGAAAGCTTCAGTTCTCTCATCTGTAAAGGTGGCAAATACTATTTACATTATGAGATTGTTGGAGGGTTAATATAGAACTTGTATTAAAATACCTAGCGTAAGTAGACAACAAATAAGTCATTTCTCATTCTGGGACTTTTATTTCTTTCACTGCACCATGATAAATTTTCCAGGGCTGATGAATTTTAAATATTACAAAGTGCTTCTATAGAGAAGTTAGTAGAGAAAAGAGTATTTAAAATTTAATAACTTACTTGGTTATTCTTCCTGTTCTAGAGAAAAGGGCTGACCAGTTATCATTTCTTCCCACTACCCTGTATGCTACACTGCACCCATGAGTAAAACTTGTGTAATTAATGCACTTGGGCCAACCAATATTGATGCCACTGTGTACAAGAAATAATCAAGAAGTTAATAAAGCAATGATGGTGTCTTTGGCCAATGTGGTGCTTAACTTAAGAAATAAAAGCCAAAATACCATTACATCACATTTTTTTTTTCCAGCAAAAGAACTCAGAAAAATGAGATACCATAACATTTCAAGGAATAAAAGAAGACTGTCTTCCCTCTTGTGAGAAACACACAGTCTGTTCAGAGAGGGAGCTTATAAGGCCCCTGTTTTACCTTGTTGGGCCCTTGAGCAAGGTGTGGGGTCAGGCAGCTCAAAGTGGTCAGCCCACTTGGACTGGTCAATTCTGCTTTGTGACCGTGGTTTCAATTCAGGGAGCAAAGAAGTTGTTATTCTTTGTTCTAGTCTCAGTTCCAAGCTTTGTTCTCCAGAGTACTTTATCATCAATATAGCTGTTACATATTTCCCATTTGGCTCAATGGTTTGTATTTATACTTTCATAGCCAGAACTCCAGAGGGAGAAAAAAAAGGAGGTGCATAAATGCAGAATTTAGGATCCAAAGCCAACCTTCAACGTCCTGGAAAATTAAAGCTGGAAGGAATGAAGACTCATTATATGGTGAGAAAAACAAAGACCAGCTGGTTGAAGAGAGCCACCCAAGGTCACATGCACATCAATACAAGAAATGCAAGTGGGTCTCTGGGTGGTGCCACAAGCTAATGGTCTGTTCCCTGGTCACACTGCTGTGACTGCTCCATACACCATTGCCCTGTTCTTTTCCCTGCATCAAAAATTTCCAGAATTTCCAACCCTTTGTCTTGTTTTCTCATGCTTAGCATCTGGATTCTTGTGCTTTGATCATGCTCCCATGTGCTAATACTAATTAATTTTGTGGCACCACGGAGAGGCCACTGCTGCAGGTGCACTTTAACCTAATGAGAGGAGTCTAGGATCATTACTTCTTCAACCTGGGTGATGCACTTCTACTGGTACCAGAAAAGGACAGATTAGCTTTTATTGCTATTGATTAAAATTGAGCTTAATGTCAACCAGGTCCCAGATGTCTACATAATGCTGTCGGATTCGTAGGAAAGATGCACTGTCAACATGAACATGGATTCTTAATGTCATGGTTTCCTATAATGATGTTAATGATAATAGAACAGTAATAAAAACAGACTCTTTATTATGTGCTGAACACTTCATACATCACGCTTTATATGTGTTAACTCATTTAACTTTGGCAACAATTTGTTGAGGCTCTTATTAGGTTCCCTAATTTACAGATGAAGAAACTGAGGCCAGGTAAAGTAAATAACATGTTAAAGGTCATGCAACCAGTAGTGAGTAATGTGAAGATTCAAACTAGGGAATTTGTCTACAGAGCTGACGATCACCCAAAACCTTTGGTTGCTACTTATTAAGGACTCAAAGTACTCCTTGATTTTTCTGCCCGTCTGGATTCTGAGCAATGGAGAATATAGTTGAATTTTATTTGTCATGTGATAACAGAACTACTGAATAACAACCCTGTAATCACCCCAATGTAGGCTCATGCTACACTTTGGATGTTTGCACCTCCAAATCTCAGACTGAAATTTGATCCCCGACGTTGAAGGTACGGCCCCGTGGGGAATGTTTGGGTCATGCCTGTGGGTCCCTCATAAACAGGTTAATGCCCTCCCTTGGGGGCGATGAGTTCTTGCTCTGTTAGTTTCCACAAGGCTGGTTGTGAAAAAGAGCCTGGCACCTCCCCTCTCCCCTTCCCTTGTTTCCTCTCCTGCAGCGTGATCTCTGCACACGCCTGCTCCCCCAGCCTCCACCATGGGTGGAGCAGCCTGAGGCTCCACCAGATACAGAGGCACAATCTTGAACTTTCAGCCACCAGAATCATGAGCCAAATGCAGCTTTTCTCTTTATAAATTACCCAGCCTCGGGTGTCCCTTTATAACAACACCAATGCACTAGGCGGCTTGTGACAATGAGAACTCAGGTTAGTGGACTCAAGTCCATTTTCTCAACTGCGCAGATGGACATGAGGTTGAAACTCTTTAGCTCAGTTGAAGACAGGCAGAAAGGAGGAAAATGGGAGTGTGTGGGGGGGACTTGTCCATACAAGGAATTCCCTATTTCCCTACCCCACAGAGAGTAAGTGGAGAGTCCCACATGCCTAAAGTCGGATAATGGAAATAGAAAGAGTATAACTATAAGAAAGTGCTGTGTTTGAGCACTGACTTATAACATAGAGACATAGCCTATTTTAAAAGTAATGACCACTAAATGTCAAGACCTAGCCAATCATACTAGCCACTTTTCTCCCCTGGGGAGGCAAAAGCAAGGGGATGATGGAAGGCAGCAAAGTGGCAAGAGGAGTAGAATCTTTCCCTCTATGAGGCTAATGCTGCAGCCCAGGTAGGGAACATGCAGCAGACGCCAGAAACCAGAGAGCTATGGAAGCAACCACTCTTTTTGTTTGCGTAGTTGAGGGCTGTGAGGAAGTCTGCTTG